ATGTGCACCTGCAGTTATTAACAGTCCCTGTGCCCTCCTTGGGTGAGCACATTCGTGCTCCTTCCCCTTGCGGGGAGGTGCGGGCCAGGGCAGGAGTTTGCTGGGTTTCCCCCTGGAAGAGCTGAGTAAATGCTGCACCACGGGGCAGGAGCCTGCAGAGATTTCTCCCGCAATATTGCAGTCATCAGCACAGCTCCCTGCTGCCGTTGAGGCTGAGGTTTGAACAGCGCAGGGTGTGGTTCTCTGCTTATAAAACAACATTTGCGTTTGGGTTTGGTTTGGTTTTTTTGTTTTTTTTTATTTGTAACTGCTTTTGGAAAACTATTAGCTCTCAGGCTGCAGCGGCCTCGGCCCTGCGTCCTGCAAGAGCATCCCCCTTGCAGTGTCTTTTTGTGCTGAATTTCCTGCCCGTGCCTGTTTTCGGCTTCCCCCGTGCTGCAACGCCCGTGGCAAAGCACGAAGCTGCAGCGTGCCGCGGCTGCTTGTGCCCGGCTGCGTTCGGTTTGTGGGACGCCACGGGCCCATCGAAGCTGTCCCCAGCGTCCTTCGGTCGCTGTCACGCTCGCTCATCCCCTTTCTGCCTGCGCCTGCCGGCTCCCTGCCTGCTCGCTGCGTTGTTTGGAGCATCCCTCTGCGGAGCTGCGGGAGGAGCACCCGCAGCTGCGGGCATCCCATGCCCGGGTGACTTTTCTGCAGCTTTGTCTTCTGTTTCTTGCAGCTGGAGGCGACCAGTTCTGCTCTGCACTGGCCCGTGGCACGTGCAGGATAAATTAAGCAAAGCTTTAGGAGCTGGGCGGTGAAAATCCCCTGCTGCAGTGGGTGCTCCGCCGCTCTGTGTAATTGGGACTATTTTAGGTTTTCCCATGAGGACGGGGGATTCACTGCGTGGGGAGGCTGCGCGTCCAGGCAGGGCAGGAGCTGCTTAAGTTTGCAAAGCAATTCTCAGCCGTGGTGTTAGGGGGAGATGCCTGCAGCACGTGGAGACTCTCCAAAGGTGTATAATTTACAGGACTTTTTGCCCAGGGGGCTTTTGCAGGTGCGCGACAAGCCCTTCTCTATGGCAGGGCACGTTCCTCGCAGTGCCCTCCTGTGCATCGGGATATACCCGGGCTCCATCCTGA